CACAACACAAGTTCATTTCATTGCAATGTCTTCTAGCTAGTAATGGTCATAAAAGATGCCAGCACTTCAGTATAAATACATTTTTCAACTCTTACACAATCTGGGGATTCACCCACTACCACCATTACCAATGCCGCCGCCAGCACAGTTGTCAATGCAAACGCAACACGCCACCGCCGCCAGCACCATTGTCAATGCCACTGCCGCCTGCACCGTCGTCAGTGCAAACGCCACCGCCACTGCCAGCAATGCCATCAACGCCAATGCCGCTGCTGCCGCTGCCAGCACCGCTGTCAGTGCCAACGCCACCACCACCACCGCCGCCATCAACGCCAACAATTCGCCACCGCCATCAATGCCAACCCACTGACTGGAAGTATATGTTTATCAACGAACACACAACACTCTGAAAAATTTATAAAAGGAAGTATGTCGTGAGACGTTTGGTCAGACCATACAACTTACAATGGAGTACAATGAGAGGGACGTTAGAGATGATGAACAGATGGTGGATGAGGACAAACACGACGAGGGTGATGAATATGGAGAACAGAGGATGAATCAGAAGAGGAAGAAGATGACAAACCAGAGGAAGAAGATGAAGAACCAAAGGGGGGAGAAGATTAAGAGAAAATTTCATGGGTAGGCATTCGAGATGAAGTTGAGGTGCAACATAAGGGAAAACTTGAAGCCTTGATAACCAAGTTTCAGAAACTTGGCAATTCACAGGAAGTGGCAGTTGTTAAGGCATACAATAGCCTGCTTACTCTTTACAGAGAAGACCTGAGAGATGTGTTGTTGGAAGATCTGAAATGGATGCGTGCCTTGAGAAAGGACCCCATCTATCGAGAAGTAGTGGCAACCAGAGACAAATTAATGGAGGAAAAGGGATATGACTGGNAAGATGCCAGCACTTCAGTATAAATACATTTTTCAACTCTTACACAATCTGGGGATTCACCCACTACCACCATTACCAATGCCGCCGCCAGCACAGTTGTCAATGCAAACGCAACACGCCGCCGCCACCAGCACCATTGTCAATGCCGCCGCCGCCTGCACTGTTGTCAATGCAAACGCCACCGCCACTGCCAGCGCTGCCATCAACGCCAATGCCGCCGCCGCCGCCACCAGCACCGCTGTCAGTGCCAATGCCACCACCACCGCTGTCAACGTCAACAATTTGCTGCCCCCATCAATGCCAACCCATTGACTGGAAGTGTATGATGTTTATCAACGAACACACAATACTCTGAAAAATTTATAAAAGGAAGTATGTCATGAGACGTTTGGTCAGACCATACAGTTTACAATGGAGTACAATGAGAGGGACGTTAGTGATGATGAACAGATGGTGGATGAGGACAAACGCGACGAGGGTGATGAATATAGAGAACCGGAGGACGAATCAGAAGAGGAAGAAGATGACGAACCAGAGGAAGAAGAAGATGAAGAACCAAAGGGGGGAGAAGATGAAGAAAAAATTCCATGGGTAGGCATTCGAGATAAAGTCGAGGTGCAACATAAGGAAAAACTTGAAGCCTTGATAACCGAGTTTCAGAAACTTGGCAATTCACA